AGAAAAAATGAACAGAAAATAATCAATTAAACCAAGAGCTGGTTCTTTGAGAAAATAAACAAAATAGATAAGCCTCAAGCCAGACTTATTAAGAGAAAAAGAGAATCGAAACACATCAACAGAATCAGATATGAGAAAGTAAAAATCACAATGAACACCACAGAAATAGAAAGAATTATTAGAGAATACTATGAAAACCTATATGCTAACAAGCTGGAAAACCTAGAAGAAATGGACAACTTCGTAGAAAAATTAAACTTTCCAAGATTGACCAAGGAAGAAACAGAAAATCTAAACAAACCAATTACCAGCAATAAAATTAAAGCAGTAATCAAAAAACTACCCAAGGGCAAAACCCCCGGGCCAGATGGATTTACCTCGGAATTTTATCAGACATACAGAGAAGAAATAATACCCATTCTCTTTAAAGTTTCCCAAAAAATAGAAGAGGAGGGAATACTCCCAAACTCATTCTATGAAGCCAGCATCACGCTAATACCAAACCCAGGCAATGACCCCACCAAAAAAGAAAATTACAGACTAGTATCCCTGATCAACATAGATGCAAAAATACTCAACAAAATATTAGCAAACCGAATGCAAAAATACATCAAAAGGATCATACACCATGACCAAGTGGGATTCATCGCAGAGATGCAAGGATGTTACAACATTCGAAAATGCATCAACATCATCCACCACATAACAAAAAGAAGGACAAAACCACATGATCATCTCAATAGATGCTGAAAAAGCAATTGACAACATTCAACATACACTCATGATAAAAACTGTCAACAAAATGGGTACAGAGGGCAAGTACCCCAACATAATAAAGGCATTATATGATGAACCCACAGCCAACATAATACTGAACAGCGAGAAGCTGAATGCTTTTGCTCTAAGATCGGGAACAGGACAGGGATGTCCACTCTCCTCACTGCTATTTAACATAGTACTGGAGGTCCTAGCCCAGCAATTAGACAAAACAAATACAAGGAATCCAGATTGGTAAAAAAAAAAGTCAAACTGTTACTATTTGCAGATGACATGATATTGTACATAAAAAAACCTAAAGACTCCACTCCAAAACTGCTAGAACTAATATCAGAATTCAACAAAATTGCAGGATACAAAATTAATACACAGAAATCTGTGGCTTTCCTATACACTAACAATGAACTAATAGAAAAAGAAATCAGGAAAACAATTCCATTCACAATTGCATCAAAAAGGATAAAATATCTAGGAATAAACCTAACCAAGGAAATGAAAGACCTATACCCTGAGAACTACAAGACACTCCTAAGAGAAATTAGAGAGGACACTAACAAATGGAAACTCATCCATGCTCTTGGCTGGAAAGAATTAATATAATCAAAATGGCCATCCTGCCCAAAGCGATCTACAGATTCGTTGCAATCCCTACCAAATTACCAACAGCATTCTTCAACAAACTGGAACAAATAGTTCAAAAATTCACATGGAACCACCTAAGAACCCAAACAGCCAAAGCAATCTTGAGAAGGAAGAATTAAGTGGGGGGTATCTTGCTCCCCACCTTCAAGCTCTACTACAAAGCCACAGTAATCAAGACAATTTGGTACTGGCACAAGAACAGATCCACAGACCAATGGAACAGAATAGAGACTCCAGACATTAACCCAAACATATATGGTCAATTAAAATATGATAAAGGAGCCTTGGACATACAATAGGGAAATGACAGCCTCTTCAACAACTGGTGTTGGCAAAACTGGACAGCTACATGAAAGAGAATGAAATTGGATTATTGTTTAACCCTTTACACAAAAGTAAATTCAAAATGGATTAAAGACCTGAATGTAAGTCATGAAACCATAAAACTCTTAGAAAAAAACATAGGCAAAAATCTCTTGGACATAAACATGAGTGACTTCCTAATGAACATATCTCCCCAGGCAAGGGTAACAAAAGCAAAAATGAACAAGTGGGACTATATCAAGCTGAAAAGCTTCTGTACAGCAAAGGAGACCATCAATAGAACAAAAAGGTATCCTACAGTATGAGAGAATATATTCATACATGACACAGATCCAATAAAGGGTTGACATCCAAAATATATAAAGAGCTCATGTACCTCAACAAACAAAAAGCAAATAATCCAATTAAATAATGGGCAGGAGAGCTGAACAGACAGTTCCAAAGAAGAAACTGAGATGACCAACAGACACATGAAAAGATGCTCCACATTGCTAGTCATCAGAGAAATGCAGATTAAAACCACAATGAGGTATCACCTCACACCAAGAAGGATCGCCACCATCCAAAAGACAAACAACAACAAATGTTGGTGAGGTTGTGGAGAAAGGGGAACCCTCCTACACTGCTGGTGGGAATGTAAATTAGTTCAACCATTGTGGAAAGCAATATGGAGGTTCCTCAAAAAGCTCAAAACAGAAATACCATTTGACCCAGGAATTCCACTTCTAGGAATTTACCCTAAGAATACAGCAGCCCAGTTTGAAAAAGACAGATGCACCCCTATGTTCATTGCAGCACTATTTACAATAGCCAAGAAATGGAAACAACCTAAATGTCCATCAGTAGATGAATGGATAAAGATGTGGTACATATACACAATGGAATATTATTCAGCCATAAGAAAATAAATGCTACCATTTGCAAGAACATGGATGGAGCTAGAGGGTATTATGCTCAGTGAAATAAGCCAGGCAAAGAATGACAAGTACCAAATGATTTCGCTCATATGTGGAGTATAAGAACAAAGAAAAAATTGAAGGAACAAAAAAAACAGCAGCAGAATCACAGAACCCAAGAATGGACTAACAGTTACCAAAAGCAAAGGGAGTGGGGAGGATGGGTGGGAAGGGAGAGATGGGGGTGGGGAAGAAAGAGGGTATTACGATATCATGTATGTTGGGGGAGGCACGGGGAGGGATGTGCAACCCAGAGAAGACAAGTAGTGACTCTACAGCATCTTACTATGCTGATGGACAGTGACTGTAATGGGTTTGTAGGGGGGACTTGGTGAAGTGGGGAACCTAGTAAACATAATGTTCCTCAAGTAATTATAGATTAATGATACCAAAAAAAAAAATATCTAGTTAACCTTATACTCAGTGGTGCAATACTGAATATATTCCCCCTAATAACCAAAAGAAGGTAAGAATGTCTACCCTCACTACTCTTATTCAACATAATGCTGGAAGTTATACTCAGGGCCATAAGGAAACAAAGGCATACATATTGGTATGGAAGAAATAAATTTTCCCTATTTGCAGATGATTATCTACATAGAAAATCCCAAGGAATCTACAGAAACTCTCCCAGATCCAGCAAGATCCAGGATCTAAGACAAACACAAATCACACATCAGTGTAACAGAACAGAGAACCCAGAAATAGGCCCAAGCGAATATACTCAGATGATTTTTGACAAAGGTGCAAAACCAATTTATTGAAAGAAGCAGTCTTTTCAAGAAATGCTGCATTTATAATTGGACATCCAAAGGCAAATAAATGTAACAAAACTCACATTTTATACCAAAATTAACTTAAAAAATGGATCATGACCTAAATGTAAAATGTAAACTATAAAGTTTTTAGAAAAAAATATGAGAAAAATCTTTGAGACCTAGGGCTGGGCAAAGAGTTTGTAGATCTAACACCAAAAGCACAACCTGAAAATGGAAAAATTAATTAAATGGACTCCATGAAAGAAGATGAAAAAAGATAAGCTACAGATCAGAATAGAATATCTGTAAACCTATATACCCAACTGAGAACTAGTATCTAGGTTATATATATATAAAAAACATATACCTATCAGAATGGCTAAAATTAAAAACAGTGAAAATACCAAATGCTGGTGGGGATACAGTGAAATTGTATCACTCAAATCTTGCTGGCAGGCATATAAAATGGTACAACTTCTCTGGAAAACATGTGGCAGTTTCTTAAAAAGAATTTAACATGCAACTACCATTATGACCAACAACTGCACTCTTGGGCACTTACCACAGAGAAAAGAAAACTGTGTCCACACAATAACCTGCAGACAAACGATTTTATAGCTTTATTTACAATAGCCAGAAACTGGAAACAATCTAGATATTCTTCAAGAGGTAAACAGTTAAACAAACTATAGAACAACCATACTCTGGAATACTACTCAGCAACAAAAAGGAACAAACAATTAGTACAAGCAACAGGGATGAAGTTCCAGAGAACTACACTGAGTAAAAAAAAGCCAATCCCTAGAGGTTATATACTGTATGATTTCACTTATAAAATATTCTTGAAATGATGAAATAACAAAAATGAAGAACAGATTAGGGTTCATTAATGATCAAGGAGGAGGTCGGAACGCGAGGTAGTGGATGTGGTAAAAGGGCAGCGGGAGGGATCCCTGTAGTGACGGAGACATTCAACTTGACTGACTCCATGTCATCCTGATCGCAATATTATAATTTAGAAAAATGTTACAACTAGGAAAAACTGGTAATGGGTATACATACAGGTATCTCTGTATTATTTCTTACAACAGCATATAAATCTACAATTATCTCAAAATGAAGTTTAATTTTAAAAACAAAGCACCAAGCTTCAATTGCTACAAAATTGTTTACAAAGTTATAACTTAAAGGGTCTAAATCTCTCTCAAAGTTATCATAAAGAAACCTTAAGACTTACTATTTTTCTTCCTAACCTGTTTTAAAATGTTAAAGTAGAAGAATCTCATACAACTGACTCTCACTGACTTAGTACATACGAGTGTTTGAACTTCTTTGAGGAAAGAGAATAGGAATATGCACTTACACCTTGGTCCAACATTTTATTTACTTATTTAGACCTTAAACCTAAATTACTTTTCAAAAGGATGAGATGATCATATCTTGGCCCCATATAAGTCTGAGTTCTTCATTAAGAATTCTGCTGATGTTCGTACTATGACCCCTTAAACCTAAATTACTTTTCAAAAAGATGAGATTATTATACCTTGGCCCCGTATAAGTCTGAGTTCTTCATTAAGAATTCTGCTGATGTTCGTACTGTGACCCCTGTAGTTTCACACTGCAGTACACAGTTTTCCAATGTAGTCTTGCCACGGTGAATAACTATGATAAAAACATGCAATCAAAAGCTTTAAGAGGTAATGTGTCTTTCAAATATTAGAAATGGCCTAGGGCTGACATTAGATAGTCTAAATATTTCTCAATAGGTACCACTTAAACTTTGTTACTAGAATTAAAAGTTCATAATTTTAAAACAGTGACTATTTTGAGTGATTTTCTAAAATCTAAAAGTAGCATTCTTAGAAAAAAAATGACCTCATAAATACAAAAGCAAGTTAAATAGCACTTTTCATTACAAAAAAAGTATCAGAAACTAACTTTATGAGTATCTTGGAAGGAAGAAGAAAAGGAGGCCCAATTCAAAAAAGGGGACACATCCATCGGTAGATGAATGGATAAAGAAGATGTGGTACATATACACAATGGACTACTACTCAGCCATAAGAAGTGGAAAAATTCAACCATTTGCAGCAGCATGGATGGAGCTG